TAAATATGGGAACAACATTGATGTACCTGAATATGTGACGGGCGCTGGAAAAGCTGCCTCCTTAGACATTCAATCATATAGTCACCGCATCCCAAATCCCTAAAGGATTTTCGACTGAAAAAATCACTGTCAGTGGAAAATTTTCTTCGCTGCTTTAGGTCTGGCAACTCAGACAAGTCATACATGGACCCTCCTCCATTACCCCATCCTTTTGCATTAGCAGAAGAACCTCTTGAAACGGAAGCCTTTTGTCTGGATACCATGGTGTCAGACCTATGAGGCTTATGCTGTTTAGTCTGATCGTCAGTGAGCGGCTCAAAAGCATCTTTCACATTTACACCAGAGCGGTCAATGCCGTCTGCTGTCCCCTTCTTCCGCCTCATGTTTCTAAATTCTTCTGAGCGAGAAGCACTTGAAGCTCTTCCTCCATGACTGGGGGCATTTGCATTCTTCTTGTTCCCCCTAACTTCAAGTGTAGATTGTGAATTGATAAATGGTGGTGCATCTTGTACATTTAGTTCATCATCACTTTCATCTACTTCTTGCTTCATCCGAGAATTTTTCTCCACTATGGATTTCACTCTATGTACTTTCAATCTCCCAAAACTTGCAGCAAGTTTCCTAGTACGTGCTGGTTGACGGTCATTGTCTGTAAATGGTGGCACATGCTCAATTCCGACAGGATAAAAAATATGTGCAGTTTAGATGGGACAAATTATGTATGCATGTTCAACCAACCCCTGGATTACTAAAGTGCCTTATATTTACAACTTTAATTAGTCTAAAGCTTCACGGAAAAATATAATTTTTTTTAGGAAAAACCAACCTTGTGAAATTTGAAAAGATAAAATTGATTCTCAAAAGAGGAAGTCTTTGACTCACAAATATTAGTAAGTTTAGGTGGACATGAACAAACAGAAACAATAAGCAAAACCCAAATTGAAATAAAAGGAGAGAGAGAGAGAGAGAGAGAGAGAGAGAGAGAGAGGCAGGACCTCTATGGGTGGTGTTTCTGTTGGGAGGAGGGTCATTGTTGGCTGGTCCCAGAACAACGAAATCGTCCATGAGGTCATAAGCAGGTGCAGGGTTATCGGTGGGGCTCTGACTGAAACTACAACTTATCCCCCATTTTCTCATCTGACGAAGATGGACACACCTGCAGTTGTAAGGTGCCAGTGCCACCGTCCATTCTGGTTCAAGGCGTTTTGGCCGCAGGTGGTGGTTTACTGCTGGAGCAGGAGCTTTGGCCAGCATTTCAGTGTTTCTGGTTCTGGATATGGGCAATTGGGTATGGCTAATTGGCTGTTACTTATTAACAATAACGTATTGTTGAGCATCAACTCATTTAAGCAAAAGAAGAAGAAGAAGAAGAAGAAGAAGAAGAAGAGTCGTTGGATGGTGGAGGAAACAACGGTTATCTCTTCACTCCCTTATCACTACTCGTTCTGCTGCACACACAGACAGAGATGCCGCGCAGTTTACTTCGCTCGACGACAGTCGACAACACTCAGACGAAACAGGTCTGCTACAAACTTGGACCGGCCCAAAGAAAATTTTGGGATCAAAGCCCACTTTGGGCCTTTTTAAGCCCAGTTTTCTTTTTCGTTTTTCTTAACGAACCCTAGTTTTTTATTTGGTAGGAAAATATACTTTATTGAGAAATATCGTAAGACTTATTAAGACGTATAATGGGTATCCAAAATAGTCAATCCACAACCCAAATGCTCAGATTATGAACAAGAGCAGAATTTTAGTTAAAAAATGATTTTTAGTGAAAAAATTTGCTGCTTGAATACAATCGCATGGTACAAAGAGAGCAAAACTACAGAAACAGAGGCAATAGCAACAAGCAACATCGAGCCAAGTTTCCTTAACAAATGTCTTTGTAAAGAGTAATTACTATTTAATGTTAGAGAAACATATTAATATATGATTAGCAACGTTTTCTTGCTACCAAGATCGATAAAGTTGATTCTTGTAAAAATGCGGTGATTGCATTGCAACACACGTCTTTATGTTTTTTCACTATACGATTTCTAATTTTATTGTGGAAACTCTCTTGACAGCCGATGCTCCCATACTTCATTTTCTTTTACTAGTTTTCTTGTCAAATGGCAACAAATGTTTGATGATGATGCTTTTTTCAGACTTCGGTCTGATTTTTTTATTGTTTGCCCTTTAAATCAAGTTACTTTCATCTACCATTCCAGATGTTACATTGGACCTACCAACATTCATTCACAAAACATAAACCCAGGCCATCCTGAGACATAGAAATTCTCAACGATCAACAAACAATTGATAAAAGTTCAGCAATAGTTGGACAAAGACTAGTTAGCTAAGACAATACGTTCCAAGTTCTAACCAAATGAGTTGATTAAGCAGCATAAGATCAGCATCAATGATGCCAGATTGAACATTCAAATGAAATGGTGTGAGGGGAGGAAGAGGTATTGCATTTGCATGTCATGCATTGCCAACAACATCTGTAACAAGTCTCAGGAATAGGGACCCTATCATCTCCCAAATCTTTCCATCCTCCGCCGACGTAATTCTTCCAAAGGAAGGTCACCGGAATAATGTGCCGATCGCGGTGAAGCCATACCATTGGCACTGCCAGTGCCCCTCCTATTTGTCGAACACATTTCGCATACATTTAACCAAGCAGAATTCTCATACGTACAAGCATGGCATCTCCAGAAACCAGACACAGAAATTCCTCTCTGACCCCCACCAACAGGTCCTCTACCGGATATCTGCCTCCTTCGGAATGGAAACAAGCGTCGTAAAAATCTCACAGGCCATTTCAGCACACCAGTAAGACCTCTGATGATACCAGTAAGTGGGTCTGAGCCATTGTAAGAACCCCTCAACTGGATATAGACAAGCCCTGCAAGAATTCCACCCAAATGACCAATAAAAGAGACACCAGGAACCAAAAATTGGACCAGAGCCAATTCCGCCCACGCAGCGTAACGAGATGGTACCGGAATTCCATAAACATAACTGTTCTCAGTCTGGGAATTGAGCACAACCTTCATGGCAAAGAGCACCCCAGAAAACCCAACAGAGTATTCAGTGTAGTAAGCCCATTCATAGTCAAAGAACGCAAGCAGGGACTTGGAAATCAGCAGTGAGATTCCTTGGGACATGCCCAGTAGCACAGCAACCATGGAAGCAAACTCAGCACTGTCCATTGAATTTTCCAATTGAATTCCCTTCCACAAGAGGGAGAGCATGTTGTAAACCAAGTGAGACTCTCCCACATGGTAGAACGGCGACAAGAAGAAGCGCTTCAAGTCTCCATTCTGTTCAAGCAATTTCACAAACAGCTTACCCGCATCAATATATAAAACACCCAGTTCACATATGAAATCAAAAGAGCAAAAACTAATAATTCAAGGTTTATTACAGAGTGGCAACATTTCAACCATTTGGGGTTTTTGTGAACTTAGAAATGAGAATGAGAAATTACCTTGACGATGAGGTGGGGGTTGAACCAGACTTCTTGGAGGGATGGGAGAATGGGGTCGAGAAAAGCAGGGCGTAAGTAGATGAGAGAATTGGCGGCAATGAGTCCGGCGGTGACCGGAGGCTTCCGGTC